TACACTGGGTAAGGAGTAGGCATGGTTAGGTCCAGCCTGAATCTTCGTAATTTGGATTAAATTCGGATCTAATTCCTTTTTGAAGCAATTTCAAAGTGATTTGGGAACCCGGAAGTATCCTTACCATTTCGAAGCCACTGTCACCATGTCACCATGGCTCAGGAAGTGATTCGGAAAAGACCCAACGTTTGGAGGCAAGCAGCAGCTTGCATGCTGGGATACTTGCCTCCAGCCAATGAGAGCAAACCATGTGGGGAGGGGCGGGGTTTCAGCAAGGCTCGAGCTGGAGATGTGAAGGGAAAAGGACTAGGGCAGGCTGCTTGGGTGGGAAAGGTGCCATGCCACCGCTTAGCAAGGGAACAACAGGGTTGGGAACAACTACTTTCCTTGGGGAACCAGACCATAAAAGTTTGCAGCCTTCCTTTCTCTGCCTGGGGCTACACATTGTTATTTTGGAAACTAGAAATCTCCTGATCTAATCTTTTCCTTGGGGAACCAGACCATAAAAGTTTACAGTCCTACTTTCTCTGCCTTGGGGTTACACGTTGTTCTTTTGGAAACTAGGAATCTCCTAATCTAGTGAGGGTTCCCTGCAGCCACACATCTCCATTTCTTCAAGAAGCAGCAGAAAGGAAAACCATACACTTGGCTGGATCATGCACTGTTCTTGCCTGTCTGTTATTCCTGCTGTTTTTCTCCCTTTTCTTCTCCACTTTCCTTCTCTCTTCCTTTCCCCTTTCCTTTTCTCCTCCAGATCCAGCCTGTTCAGGAAAACATGGGGGTGGGGTGCATTTTACTAGTACATATGTTCTTGGAAACTCACTTGGCAACGGGTTTTCTGGGAGAGAAAACTCTGTTTTTCTGAACGGGCCGGGATTTGGAGGAGAAAATGAAAGGGGAAAGGAAGAGAGATAAGGAAAGAAGAGAAGGGAAGGGAGAAAAACAGCAGGAAAAACATCAGTTTAAACCAGTGTGGATGAATTCCTTTCCTTTCTCTCCTGTGTCAGTTTAAACCAGTGTGGATGGGATGGATCCGCATCAGTTTAAATCAGTGTGGATGGAATGGATCCATGTCAGTTTAAACCAGTGAGGATGGGATGTATTTGCATCAGTTTAAACCAGTGTGGATGAGATGGATCTGCATCAGTTTAATCCAGTGTGGATGGATTCATTTCCTTTCCCAGCGGTTTTAACCAGAGTGGATAGATTTCTTCCCTTTGCTCCCCCCCCCCTCCGCTTTCTGGAGTAAAACAACTATTTTCAAAGTAAAGACCACCCAATTAAACAGGAAACAACACTTTGAAACCATTAACTAAGGATTCAGAGGTCTCAGAAGTTTTAAAAGTTTTGAACTTTTTTCTTTGAAAATCAGAATTGACTTTAGATCTGAACCACAAGAGCCCCCTACACCCGACACAAATTTTGAACCTTTTTTTTTATCAAACAAGTAGTACAGAAAACCAGGGTTGCAAAGATGACCAGAAGACTGATTGTGGACTATTGAAGGAAGTTGCAAGACTGAAGGAGTTCAACTACGTATTTATCCATTGCCTACACTAGTACTACTGTTGCAGAGTAGCCTTTTGATGTAAGTTCATGGTTTTCACGTTTTCACTTCCATTGTAGAGCCATTAACTCCTGGAGGCTAAAATGTCCCATCTGCCTGGATAAGAATGAAAGAATGAAGATAGTGACCTGGTCTCAAAGCAATGCATGGCAAAGTTTTTATTCATTAGTGGCCAGAAAGGAAGGAGACATGGATACAACTTGAGATATCCCCCCCCCTTCCTTGCTATTTTAAAATCTTTTTCTACCCCAGTAGCCTTTCCCTCTCACAATTTTCTTCATGTTTACTAGCCAGATCATTCCATAACAAGAGACACATGGCCATGATACAACTGAAGTTCTGCCAGGTATTCAGGAAATATCTGCTCTTTTCAGTTTTTAAACTGTAACCACTTGAGCATACATAATTTATCCTAAGAACTTGATGTAGTGTATCTATAGAGAGGAATGTTTTGGGCATGAAACATTCTCTAGCAATGGCAGGAACATGTATTGCAGGCACTGAAACACAACAAAAATGCTTGTAGTTCAAAAATGATTTGTGTAATATAGGTGTATGTGCATGAGTATGCTTTAATATTGTTTGTTGTTCTCTGCCTTCAAACCATTTCTGACTCATGGCATCCCTAAACTGAATCTGTTGTGGGATTGTCATGAATCTGTGTCGAGGTGTGTGTTCCTTTGTCTTCATATGAATTTGAGAAAGTGTGACTAGCTCAAGGTCATCTGTCGCTAAGTATAGATTTGAAACCTCTTTGGAGTCGTAGTTCAAACCACACCACACCACAATTGGTTTTGGAAGTAAACACGATGGCCAAATTCACTTTATTATTTCACTTTTTAGCAGCAGCAAATAGTACATAAATAGAAACAATTCCTTTTCAAAAGTACAGTTATTGAAAACATTATAGTCAAAATATTTGGTAGTCATTAAAATATGGTGACTAAACTTTTAGTCCAGTCTATGGAGTGTGTGTGGGGGGAATCAAACGGTTATATCCCAGATAGATCAACCCTATCCATTCTGATCATATGTAGAGCACCACATTTTTCATGCTAGCCTATGTCAAAAATGATTTTACAAACTGTTCAAACCTATGCACAAGTAAAAAAAGCCTCTGAGCATAGCAAGAAATTTTAGAACGGCGCATATATATATATATATATATATATATATATATATATATATATATATATATATATATATATATATATATATATAGCTTCAATGCTTTTTGTTTTTTTAAAAAAATATACACAGGGCCATTAAAAAGTAATATCTGAAGTTGCAGCCTAAAGTAGATGCATTCTACACATTTCAGGAATCCACAATACTACACTGCCATGTGCCCAGAACAGAATATTTAATTTTGATGCAATAGTATGTGGCTTAATAACCAATGTTAATTATATTTATTATAATTTAATATAATATAGTGTTAGTCATAAGGCTGTACAGTTCATTATTGTGATCATTCTTCTGTACAGGTTTGCATGTTTCAGAACACAATGAGCACATAAAAGTGCAGGGAGATCCCTGGATTAATCTCTCTTCCCTCATCTTACCGATTTGTCTTCCAAATTTCACAAAGTTTAGAAAAACCTGTTCTCTGACTTGAAGCAGCTTTATTTTTTACAGAGCAAATGTAACTATGGCACTTATGTTTCTTGCAGCAGTACCCAAACACAGAGGAAGAAGACTCTTAATAGTTTTGCTGTGATACCCAGCTCTTGTGTATGTGCAAGACTGTGCAACAGGTGTAGGTATGGTTTAGCCCAAGAACCTCATGTGGATTGCAAACCCATTTTTAAAGGCCATGGGCCCTCCCAATGCTATCCAATACTGTCCCCCAAAGAGTGTAATTTTCTGCCCCTGGAAGTCTTCAGGAGTACCAGTTTTGCAGTAAAATGGAGGAAACACTTGCCCCGCCCCCCAACACCCAACCACCAGTCAATGATAAAACTGAAAATGGATGTCTCATCATATATTTTTGATTTTTGATTTATTTTGAAAATATGGATGTCTTGAGGTTGAAAACCTGGTCCCTTTTTTCTTCCATGTTGACTAAACCACTACATGATGTTTACCTTTGAAAAAAACTTGGATTATACACAATTATAGCACTTTGATACAATATTAACAGCTATGGTTCCATCCCAACTTTTTATAATATGGCAAGGTTCTTAGAATTCTGTGCTAAGAAAGCTAGCGCACTCTGTTGAACTGGGTCTTTAAAACTTTCTTGTAGAGAATGAAGTGATGACTAATAGACTTGTGCATGGAATTCATTCCTACCATTTCTTTCGTGTCTTCTGTTTCTTCAGGATCATGAAATGGAAAGGCCTCTCCCCACATGAAAATCTCCTTGACACCAAAGCCTGCTTTCGTCTGCAGTCAAGCTGGCTTCTTGCCTTGGAAAGAGAGTGCACATGTGAAGGACAGCAAGTGCGGAGTTCAACTGCAGGCACGCTCTGGGCCTGCTTACATGCCCTGCCAGACAAGGCAAGTGCGTGTGGCAGGATGTGCAGGCAAGCCTGGAGCATGCCTCCAGATGAGTGCCTCTTACTCTAGAGTAAGAGGTGCTTGGCTGCAGGCACTGGCAGGCGCACGTTCCCGGGCATGCCTGCATACCCTGCCACACATACACTCTCTTTCCATGGAGAGTGCATGTGTGGCATGGCTTGCAAGCAGGCCCAGAAAGTGTGTATGCCTGCCAGTGCCTACAGCCAAGATTCTCTTATAGAAAGAGCAGGTGCTAGGTAAGAAGAATGGAAGTGCATGCTGAGAAGGGGAGCTAGTGGGTAGGAAGCCCCATCCCAATAATGGTCCAATTTTTGGGGCTTCCAAAAATGATTTCAGGCTTCCAAAAATGATTTCAGGCTTCCAAAAATGATTTCAGGCTTCCAAAAATGGATCAGCGCTCCAACAAAAGCTGGGGCACAAAACGGAACAAGGTTTACCTTGAAAGCACAACCCTAATGATTAATAATTAATTGCTGATCTGCAAAAGGATTGTTTACAAGCACACAGATCACAACTGGTAGGCCATTTGAATTAAAATTGCAAGAGAAGAAGGCATGTGCTTTTGTTATCTTCAAAGCAGGTACAATGCCCATAAAGAGTAGAAGAATCCTATGCCATCTACTTCTATATGATATAATCTGAGATAACAGCTGCTGATTCCAAGACTTTGAAGATTCACTAGTCTATATACAAGCGTACTGTGAACTTTCACCAGTCTCTCAACCCAGATTTATAAACTGTCAAGCATTGTTCTGTAACATAACTCTGTTCCATAAGTTGGAGTATCTGCAATATACAGTGGTGGCCAAAGTTTCCATACATTTGGATAGGATGATGATCATACCTGGTTTGGCAGATAACACCTTTATATACATATATATAAAACACACACACACACACACACACACACGAGAGGAATGCATATCTTGCCTCTGTGTTTTCCTTTATTTCTATCTATCTGTTGAAAGCCCTGTACACTGTACATAAACAATATATTTCTCTTCCTAGAATGACCAGGTCACTGATGTACAGATCTGAAGAACTGTTTCTAAGACTGTTCGTGGAGAGCTCTGTGCCTCTGCAAGACAGTGTGGAGTTCTTGAATAACATTTGCTGGAAGCTTATTATCAGATTCCAGCTGCATCTGATTGGCTTTGTTCTCATTTTTCTTTGGTGTCTTTGAGTCCATGTAGGGTCTTTGGTGAGAGTCAGAAACATCTTGACCCATGTCATCCAAACAGATCAGACTTCGGTGCTTCCTTGTCCGGTTTCGGGCTTTCTCCTCCTTGCGTTCCAGGCACTCAGCGACCCGTGATGCTCTTTCCTTCAAACTCCTCTTGTCTTCTGTTAAATCACTTTCAGATTCAAGCTTTGAATGCTGAATAAAAGGGAGCAGAAAACAAATGACATATAGAAGATATCCTTGAATAATTATCTACTGCTCATTAGTCTTAAAGTCATAGTAGCCATCAATCTAGGGGTTTGTTAAGTGCACAAAATTTCTAAGATCTATCAGACTCACTCTCCCCACAAGAAAGGCTTTCCCCCAATAATTTCAAAACTGGACTGAGATGCATTGTATCTTTGGCCCCCATTCCTATTTCACATTCTTCTGATCTGAAACAGGAAAGGAGACCATTATATTATTAATATGAATTTCCAAAGTGCCTACAAAAATTAAATGGTCTACGGAAAGACCTTTCTCCCTCAGGCTTCCACTTTGAGTGACTGCACACAGAAAAATGGACAGAGCAGGGAGATCAGTCAAAATACATGAGAGCAAAAAGCTGACTGAATACATTTACAACATAGTAAAAGGAAAAACCTTTCAGCAGTAAAAGGAGAAGGGTACTTCCAGGTCATGGGCTTAATTTGGCTCATGGAAGTTTCTCATCTGGCCCAGACAGGTCTACGTGCAATCAACTCCCTTTTCACCGAGCCTCATCCTTGAAAACTACTGTGCAAAGACCCACGTCCTCTGCTCATTGGGTAAAGAAGGAGAGAAATAAAGATAGCAATGCTTTCAATTGGCATTTACAAGCACTGTTTGGTAGTGCTTTGCTGCTTTTTACTCCTCCCAACTTGAGGAGCAAAATTGGAATCTAGGACAAAGTGTTGGTGGAAAAGTCCCATTCTATTGATATCAAGAAGATGACAACATCTCCTCGTGTGATCAAAGCCTACAAAGTTCTGTGAAAGGGCTCCAGCCCATAAGCCAATTGTAGTGCCCCATCCATGGTGGGTGGTTAGGGGGAGAAAGGTATAAATGTGGAGATTGTGACAGGGAAATTTATGTGAAACTTGGTCACCTTTAGAAAGAATGTGCAGAAAGAAGAAAAACAGAGAAATCAAATGAAAATAATTAGGACATTTCAAAGTCAATAGAAGTTTGCATCACCTTAATTACCATTCATTATGTACTAATTGTTTTTTGTGAATTCCCAAACTGGTAACTCAAAACTGAGTCATCACCACATACACAAACCCTCTGAAGTGTCCTCATATGCTTTCAGTGATTTCAAGTCAAGTGAATGGTTAAGTTAGAGTTATAAAATTTATCTTCCCTCTTCCTAACCCCAAAATAAAATTAACACATATACTCAAAAGAGACAACTGTACTCCTTGTGGGAGCTCAAGATGCATTTAGAAGGCATGTACGTTGGGAGAAAAAAAACAAACCACAATTCCCATTAGATTCTAAATGTCTGTTGAAATATGGTAGGATTTTGTTGCTATGGTTCCAACAAATGTATTATTCCAGTTAAATGGGGTTATAATGGAAATATATAATTGTTAAATCCCAGATGAGACATCTTCTACCACTGCAATTAATTTGCATAATTCTGAGATTTACATTTCCAGAACTGCCTCGGTTCTGGGGTAGAGGTAGCAATATTATAGCACCTGCCTAAAATGAAATTATTCTTGGATAGATTTATTAGTGTTTTCCCAAGTACAACAGCTTTGATTGTAATGGATAATTTCCCACAACATACAAGCCTTTATTTGATTTTTAAAAATTAATTTTACATGAAACTTAAAACAGAATAATTTATTACTTCCCATGTAGTTCCATAAAAATCACAAATTATTTCACTAGCAAATATCAATGCATTATTATAACATAAATTCAAAAAAAAGATTGTGGTAATTTCATACAGAAATGAGATCGAGTTCCTACATTCGTATTTGGTTTATGGATAACATTTCAACTGTTGAATTTATTTAGTGTGATTTAGAATGTGATGCCTGCAAGTACACTAACATTCTAATTGCCACCGGAATGTTTTATAAGTAAGCTAATGAATTCAACAAATCATTTTAGACAATGGGAGCAACTAACAGTAGTAGTAATCCAAAAAGGCCTTCTTTTGAAGGAGCCTGCTCTGCCAGAAATAAATAAATAAATAAATATTGCACAATAATGCCTAATCTCAGTGCAAGAGAGCTTACCTTGAATTGTCCCTTCCAGCTCCTGCATGATTATTTGTATACATTTCCTTCTCGGTGTTAGAGCTCTAGCATCAAGAGGAGAGGAGACATACCATGTGGCAGAAAGAGACTTTAGGTGCATTATACCATAGAATTGATGCGGTTTGACAACACTTTAACTGCCATGATTTGATGCTATAGAAACATGGGAGATGTAATTTTACAAGTTTTTTAGCCTTTTCCATCAAAGTGTCCTGGGATCTTACCACACTATGACCCCCAAGATTCCACAGCATTGAGCTATTGCAGTTAAAGTGGTGTCAAACTGCATTCATTCTACAGTTTAGATGCAGCCTTTGAATATACAAGATCTAAATTTCTCCTGGTCCATTGACATGTCGGAGCCCCCGGTGGCGCAGTGGGTTAAACCCCTGTGCCGGCAGGACTGAAGACTGACAGGTCGCAGGTTCGAATCCGGGGAGAGACAGATGAGTTCCCTCTATCAGCTCCAGCTCCTCATGCTGAGAAGAGAGAAGCCTCCCACAAGGATGATAAAAACATCAAATCATCCAGGTGTCCCCTGGGCAACAACCTTGCAGATGGCCAATTCTCTCACACCAGAAACGACTTGCAGTTTCTCAAGTCGCTCCTGACACGACAAAAAAAAATTGACATGTCTCTCCACCATGAAGAGTAAATTTGCACAAATCCTCCTAAGTTCTTTTAAAAAAAAGAATGCAATATCACAGCAACAAATAACAATCTAAAATCTTGCCTTATCCCATCTACCTTCTCTCCCCAAGTCACAGACTACTTCCCTGTGAATCCCCTTTCTAATAAAGGATATTCTGCTGTTGGTGTAAACAAATTACAGGAAGAAAATAGTTTTAGAAACATGAATAGTGTCATGAAACTGAAAGACAAGAATGTTGTCATTCTTTCTGCCAGGGTCTTGAAATGTTTTCAGATGTTCTGATATCAGAATGCTCAAGTTTAGCCAGCAACCTACCTCTGATGTGTTGACTTTAGCTTTTGGAATACTTCTTTCATGATGGATTGGTATTAAATGTAAGCCACCAATTTTGGGGTTTTTGGTAACAGATTGCTTCCTCACTTTTCCATCTGGTGGACAGATATTATTGTGCTGTGAAAGAAGATTTGTCTTGTGTCACAGAAATGATGAATACAAATCAGAAATCATTTAGTAGACAGTAAGAAATAAAATACTCTATGAATATGGAAGCAAAAATATATTAAACTTACAGGTTTTTTCAGGCTCTCAGCTTTGACCATATAAAGGGGCTGTGAAGTATAAATAGACTAGCACCACTGCCACCTAACATCTGATTGGAAATAATCTTAAAGGCCTTCTGTGTGCATATGGAGTTATGAACACAAGAGTCCCTTCATTAGGAAAGGAATGCTGGCCTGATCTGTATTTCAAGTCAATGCAGAAGGATCCTACACCCATATATGTGTTGATCTTTTAGACTGACTAATTATAGACATGGACATGGACATGTCTGAAAGATAGCACCATCTCATGTATTCTCTTTCTCTCTTAATCTCAGTCTCTCTCTCAATCAGCCCTATACAAGGTCATTACTGATTGCTAATGCTTAATATAAAAAGTAACTCTACAACAGAGGAAAACTGACAAGAGCTATAGCAAGATTTGATACACAATGAATATCCACATAGTTGAGGGGAAAGGTGTTCCTGATCTTCCTAAACTGTAATTTGCTACCTGGGATATATTATCATCCCAAATTATTAATGTGATTTAGATAAAATGAATGAAATCAGAACAATGTCTAAAACTGAATGAGGTTTAGTAACAGGTAATTTCAATTACCCTCAAGGGGTCTAGTAAATGCATGTTCAGTCAGGAGAACCATTTCCAAATGGTTCAGGTAGCCTACATATATATGATAATGGTATTGGTGGCCCCCTACCTAATTCTAAGGGTTTACCCAAGGCATAGTGCAACATATGAATGGTGCTGAACCAAATGAAAGCATTTGACTGTAATTCTTTTAAATTAAGAGCTATGTATTAAGCTTGGTGCTCAAATTCATGTCAGGAGTTTAAGCCCTGCCATGTTTATTTTCCATTTGTTGTAGGTACGTTTCTTCTATTGGCTATGCATTATGTGCTCTAGGTGATGGGTATTACCATGCTTTATATGCTTGTATCTGCTTGCATAAGAGGCTGCTGGGAAGGACCACCTGATAAAGTGGCATTACCCAGCTGCCTCTTATTCAAGCAGATTAGCTTTTTGGCCACTTACAGAGGGAGTTTACAACAGTCAGAACCTAGAAGGTTTTTCTTGTGAGAGATCTGATATGAGAGAGGGGGAAATGGGAGTATTTATGAGATTTATTGGATCAATGGACTGATAAAGGAAACATCCATGCCATGGGGTCTGGTACTGCTTTTTGACAAATGAAATGAAAGCCCATAGAATATCTGAATTAGTTTATCTATAATGTTTTGTGCAGTTATCCATTCCTCAGATCTAACAACATATGTTTTGCTGTGATCAGTTTTAGTTTCTCAAAGTTTTAGTGTTTTATTTTCAGAACTGAGGCCACCTCTTCATGATGGTATGAAGTTGAAAATAGTCAAATTTTGCTCAAAACATGCAGATTATTCAAAACCACAGAATAGTAAGCGTAGCAAGAAATGTTTATTGCAAGTTGGTTATGGCATAGGCATACATTAATAATCAAGACAGTTATTAGAAGCAAAATGTCTTCTTTTTGACAAAAGAGTTGACCCAAATGCAGAAAAAAGAAACACCAACATGTATATTAGGGCTGGGCGGTTTCGTTTCGTTAATTCGTAATTCGTTAATAATTCGTTAATTTTTTTAATTACAAAACGATAACGAACCATTCTGGAGCAATTTTTTAAAAAAATGAATTTTTAAATACGTTTTGTAAATGCTTTGTATTTCGTTAGTGTATTCGTTTCGTTATTGTTTTGAGGTCGTTTCGTTATTATTTCCGCATGTCTGGGGCAAGTTTTATGGTTGTTTTTTGTTTAATTAGTGAAAAAAAATTATAATATCACACCAACAGTCAACAACAGAGGGAGAGGGAAGCTTCAGAAGTTTTTGGAGGTTTTTTAGCGTATTTCGCGGTCGCGTCCGCCATTAATGAATCGATTCATTATTGTTTCGGAAATCGATTCGTTAATGTTTTGTATTTTTTTTCACATTTACGAAATTTCGTAAATATCGAACTTTTTAAAAGGAAAATTTTGTAATTATTTTAAATAACGAAACGCAACCCCCCCCCAAAAAAAGAATCGATTTTAGAAACAAATTTTTCCGTTGTTACCCAGGCCTAATGTATATGTGTATTTATGTGTTTATGAGTGTATGTATGTATATGTGTGCACATGTGACACTAAACTGGAGTACCTAAATTAGAATACCTAAGAGGAGCAAGTTGTTAGTTTAGATGTATATATTGCTGATGCAATCATCTACTTATATTTCACACTATTGTTTTAAAAGGTTAGCAGTTCAAAGCCTGGGTCAGGGTGAGCACCCAACCTTCAGCCCAGTTTACTGTCCACCTAAGCAGTTCGAAAACAGCTGTGAGCTGTGACTAGAGAAATTAGGCACCACTTAAGCGGGGAGGTATTTTATGGCACCATAAAGAAAATGCCAGCAATCAAAGGACGGAGGAAGTCTGTGATCAAAGGCTCTTCATCATAGGGGATGGAGCAACAGCACCATCCTGTGGCTGGAATAGAGTACAACCTCCAGGATGCTAAAGGTGGGAAAATTCTGTTGTCTGTCCTGTCTGTTTAATGGCACTGAATGTTTGCCGTATATGTATTCTGTGATCCACCCTGAGTCCCCTTTGGGGTGAGAAGGGCGGAATATAAATTCTGTACATAAGTAAATAAATTAAAGTGTTAACTAGGCCCCTTATATGTAGCCGGGGAACCTATTTCTTCTAACACACATGAAAGGCCCCTATCCCATTTGATTGCTGTTGCCACAGATATCTTCATCTGAGAAGACAAACAGAGATTGTTCTGAAAATACCTGATTTGTTTGAGATTTAATTTATTATGGTCTAAATTCTACAAGTAGCAAAGAATTGAATAAAAAAGTGTAGTGATTCCAAACAACAGAATTCACCTAAACTCATTTTGTAGTAATAGTAACACAAAGCTACAGCAGAATGTTATTTCCAATAATGTTTCAGATACTTCTGCTCAAAGGTATACAATACTTTATGTGATAAACTGGAGTGCAGCTCAAGAAAATTTATGAATGCATTACTTTTCAAGATGCCAGGATGTGTTGATATTTTTGATACTCTGCTATAATGGGTAAAAAAGGAAGTGAGGCTTTTCACTTTTTCTAAATTGGATTATACTGAAGCTCACAATAAAAGAAACATATTACTTAAAAGGGGTTGTATACAATTATATTGACACACTGCATGTTAGTTTTGTTTAGGACAGTTTAAATCTCCAGGTTGCAATTTTAACTGTATTTTGAACAGGCAAATACTTTTATTTTGTTTAAAATGAACATATGTTGAGGGATCAATGTGGAAATAGGCAAAGAAATATTATATACGTCTTTTACAACTGCGTTAAAATCTAACATCTTTTTCAAGAACCCAAACTATTATTTATATAAATAATAGAAAGAAATAATACCTGTGCAATAAATATGCTGCTCATCCATTCTAACTGAGAGTCCTGTCCATCACAACACAAATGCCTAGAATAAACACATTAAAATGAATCCGATTCCAGTGATGTAGCATACTATACATACATAATGTCAAATGTATTAGAACTAGGTTGCAGTTTCTGGAAAACTTTGCAACTCTCAGTGCACAATTATCATCAAGATGAAATTAATCAACAGTAAAGACTGTGGGAAAGTAGACAACTTTTGGGCATTCATTACTTAACATGCTCCACGTATCAATCCCTGTATTCTTTCAAGTCAACCAATTTTGAATTCTGAAATTTCTTAAGTACAAGAACAAAAATACCCCTAAGCATCAAGTTTCAAATATCACCTTAGATAAGATTCTTATTGGAAAAAGTTCATCATAACATATTTCACTTTGTTGTGCTGAGGTAAAACTGGGAAACATGTGAATTAAACACATGAATGCATATGTATATATAAAAACACCTACTCAAATAGAATTCTTCTTTTTCACAAAATGATATGTGTTCTTGTGTTTACATACTTGAAAATATCTCATGATTTCTAATTACTGATTTTTGTGAATAGCAACTGCTGAATCCGGAAATAATCATCAGTGTACTTGTGTGATAAGTTCCTCATTTATTTATTTTTCTAAACAAAAAATCTCAACAGCCTTTGGTTTCGAAGTATAAAAGAGTAGGCAGGGTGGGTAGAACCTGCTGTTTACTCACCAGTGATACTTCTCAGAGTACAATGTGAGACCCCAACTGCAAAAGTAAAATAAAACATGAAAGAATGAATAAGGTTAGTACAAATAAACAAACTTAACAAAGCTAAAATGGAGTAGCTAAAATGGAGTTTAGCTAATCATCTGTAAGCTACTTCATTATTTCATTGTTCTGAATCAATTAAAAATAGGATGAGATGGATAACAAATTATGGATGAGCCCATGTTATTATTTTCAGTAATGTATGCAAAGGGAAAGCTGTGATTTGTCTTTAAAGCATAATATGTTTTCTAAGGAAGCACAAAAATGCAGGCACACACAAGAAAGCAAGCATTCTCTTCGCCTCAAAAGGACTCCTGTAAACTTCCAATGAGCAGAGTGTGAGTATGTGCTGTGTGTGTGTGTGTGTGTATTTTGCTACAGGCAGTGTAGCCTTCTGCAAAATAAAAGACCACACACACACAAGCATGCATTCCCCATGCTTCAAAAGGGCTGTCCAAATCTCCTGCCAAGGTATTGGGAAGGGGGAATTTATGTGATGTTTGGGTGGATTAAGCAGTCCTTCCAGACCCAACCTTGTATTTAAAAAGTGCCAGTCCTCCATTCAATACCCTGGTAAGAAATGTCCAGGAACCCTCTTACAGCATATCTCTAAGTTGAACCCTTGACTTATCCACGGGTCATGTGAAAATCCATAATTCTGGTTCCATAACTTGCCTTCAACTTATGTATGAGACTGATTATATACAATATGTCAGAAAAGTTTTTATCTTCTCTGGCTCTGAATTTGACACAAAAAGGACCAAATTAGATTTTTGTCCCTTACAGCATACTACCTATCACAAGAATTCAGTTCAGATGTTCTGAGCTATCTGAGGACATAACGGAGATGGCTCACAAGAAACACCACTCCAAAATTAGGAAGGACCATTCCATAAAGTATTTTAACAGAGAAGAAATAAACACAGCAAAGGATTATGGTTGTCCAAACAATAATTAATACTGTGGAGTTACAATTTAATACCAAAGAAAAAATGGATATAGGAGTTTACAACATTAGCATGCTGATTTGCAGCAATCCCATTAGTTAAGGAAACAGAAACATTTTAGGATTAGTATGCTCATTATCAGACTAGATGGAAGCATCCCAGGATAAGTATGTTCAGGATAGGTACATTCACATCTTTGAAGTAATTATCTACCTTCTGTCTCTTATAATCCCGCCATATTGCCCTACCCAGCATGTTGTGTGGTTTCAGTTATTTTAATTTTTACAGCAATTTATTGTGACAATAATATGGGGGGGGGGGGGGAAGAACAGAATGAAATATATGTGTGGGAAAGCAATTGGGAATGAGGGGAAAGGGAGAGGAGGAGAATCTTATCCACTGAAATAATGTGACTGCCAGCAAATCGAATGGAAGGCAACGCTATCAGGAGACATTTATGGGCTTTAACCATCAGTAAAAAGAAACACCACAAACATGGATAGTAGGCAAATCAGCAGCAGGACATGCACAATAATGTGTGTTGCCAGAAACAGATGTGGATATCTTGCTGCAATTATAGCTAGCAAGCTCATATGATGATGTCCCTAGGTTAGCTTCTTTGTTTTGTAAAACTTTACACCCCTCTGTCATCAGAAAAGCAAAACTACTTGCTAAAATGAAACCAATGCAGTAATCTTTTGCCCTCTTTCTTACTTCGTTGGTGGCTTCAGTTTCTTCTTCACTCCAAGGTAAAGTTTCAGTGATTGGGTTGGCAACACCTTCTCAGGCTTACTACTCTGTTGAGTTAAAAAAAAATGACCAATCAGTGGAACAGTTATGTTCAAAGAGAAAAGCATCAGAGAAAGTACCCAAATTGCTCATCTTTCCAATATCCTGCTTCACAATTGCAGTTCACTTAATCCCAGATCATTTCATCTTTCCTATAGCATGTAGCCAGTAACTGTTAGCCAGAGTTGCAGGTGAAAATCTGCTGTAATGAGAACAAGTCTATCACTATTACTATAACACATCCCAAACAAAAAGAGAATTTTTGGGGTCTTGGTTTTTAGATCTGTTCCTACGGTTATTTGAGGTGCTGATTCAGATAATTGCATTGAATAGATTGCATCAGCTCTAGTTTTTTATATTGTTATTATGATTTTTTTATGGGCAAGCAGATGAAGAGTGGCATATGCTCTGTATCTCAAAAACTAGACCGAATGTCATTTTTGGAATCAGCAGGTCAAATACACTCCAAAACAGGGCTAATGTTTGAGGCACCAAAATGTGTGGTGGTCGACATAATCAGTAATACTACTCTAACAGGAAATGGTAATAGAGGAAGAGATATTCTGAGATGTAAAAGAATGATTCTTGCAAAGATAGATCAAATGAGTGAGAACTGGCAGTGAATCAACAAGTTCTAATTGAAATCATGCTAGGCTTACAAACCCAGCAGATATAACAAAGTGGCAGATGTAATCTGGAAGTGAACTCACCACAAATGATGTACACAATATTCACAATGTTTGTTATCCCCCTCCCCCGCCCCCAATTTCAGAGCTCTTTTGTTTCAGAAAATGCAACTGTTGCTCTGCAGAAAATTCAGTTTTTCAGCAAATATGTCAATACTTGACCAAAACACTGTTTTTGAGCAAAAATATCCAGTCCAACACCAGACACATTTCTGCACAAATTAACACACAAATCCTCAAATCCAAAAAAATAAAAAAGTAATTGTGAAATGTCCCCAAAAAAATCTTCCAAGTAGGACTTTTTTTTCATGTCAGGAGCAACTTAAGAAACTACAAGTTGCTTCTGGTGTGAGAGAATTGTCCAACTGCAGAAACACTGCCCATCCTGTGGAAGGCTTCTCTCATGTGCCTGCACGAGAAGCTGGAGCTGACAAAAGGGAGCTCACCCCACTCCTTGGATTCAATCCGCTGACCTTTCAGTCAGCAGACCTACCAGCATAATGGTTTAACCCATTGCGCCACCAGAGGCTCATTGATTCTAAGCAGGATTAAAACTGGGAATTATTCATTCTGCTGCAAGATCAACAGTCACTTGTGAAATGTTCTACTCCTATTCACTAAGGCATGATTTAGAGATGTAAGTTTTCACTAATTTTACTCTCAAAGGAAGTAATGAGTGAATTAAGCTGGCAGAAAGTCTTTAAAAACTGCAGCTTTCATATTGTACATCATGTTGTACATCATGTCGTTAGAAATCTTGCTAGATGAAATTAGGAGAGATGGTAACCTGAGAGGAACAAAAATAAGGAAAGAAGAATTTAAGTTAAAAGCGTATGCAGACGATATAATTTGCATAATGGATAATCCTGTTGAAACGGTATCAGAATGGGCAAGAAAAATTAAAGACTACGGGAAGGTAACAGGTTTGAGAATTAATGAAACAAAAACTAAATTTCTAACAAAGAATATTGGGGAGAAAAAAAAAGCAGAACTAGAGAGGATCTCAGGTTATAAGGTCTCCAATAAAATTAAGTATCTAGGGATCAATTTAACCGCTAATAATTCACAACTTGTGAAGAACAATTATGAACAGGTTTGGAGGGATATAAGTAAAAAATTAGAAAGCTGGAAACATCTGAATTTGAGTTTGATGGGAAGAGTGGCCATGATAAAAATGAATGTACTCCCGAAAATGACATTTTTATTTAATATGATCCCGGTACTTAGAACTAATCATTGTTTTACTCGATGGAAAAAAGACATTTTGAAATTTATTTGGTGTGGTCGAAAAGCAAGGATCAGGTATAAAATTATGGTAGACTCAAGGGAAAGAGGGGGAATGGGCCTACCTGACTTACAACTGTACTTTGATGCCTGTGCCTTGACTTGGGTAAGGGAATGGGCCCTGCTAAGGAAGAAGAGACTACTAAACCTGGAGGGCGCGGACATTAGGAGGGGTTGGCACGCCTATCTGTGGCATGGGAAAGCTAAGATCGAAAAGAACTTTTCAAATCATTTTATTAGAGCGGCCCTACTTAAGGTATGGGGAAAATATAAAACTAGGTTCTATACTCAAACACCCCTTTGGCTGTCCCCAATAGAGGCTCTCCATAAAAGAGAGTTCCCTAGCAGTAAATGGTATACATATAGGTCATTGTTGGAAAAGAAAGAAAGTCAGTGGAAACTAAAATCGCTTGAATTGCTGAGGAATATGGATGAGAATTTCTCCTGGTTCCATTTCCTACAAGTGTCAGAAAGTTATAAAGAGGACTACAAAATAGGTTTTGCCCCACAGGAGACATTTTGGGAATCAATCATGAAGAGAGATAAGAAACTAATAAAAGGACTATACCAGAAACTGCTTGAGTGGTTTACAGAAACCGAGTTGATAAAAGAGAACATGATCTCCTGGGCCATAGACCTAGGGCACACCATTCTGCTCAAGGAGTGGGAGGACATCTGGAGAGTAAAAATAAAATTTGCCAAGTCTGTGAGCATTACAGAAAGCTGGTACAAAATGTTTGTGCGTTGGCACCTAACTCCCCAGAGGTTAGCAAAATTCTATAAAGGAACAAGTAACCTTTGCTGGAAATGCGGGAAGCATCTGGGTACATACCTACATATATGGTGGGATTGTAAGAGAGTCAGGACATTCTGGAGGGAAATTCATCACCAGGTGCAGGGAATATTACAAGTAAGATTCGAGCTGAAAGCGGAATATTATCTACTGCATCTTCTAGACTTCAAATTAGTGCATAATAAGGAGATACTATTGTATCACTTCACGGCAGCGGCGAGAACTGTGTTCGCTAGCAAATGGAAAACAAAGGAACTCCCGACAATGGAAGTATGGACATTAAAAATTAGAGACTTCATGGAACTAGACTCCTTGGCAAGCATAGTTTATGATACCAGTAAAAAAAAAAGGATCGATTGGCAACCTTTGAGACAATACTTGATAGAGAAGAAAAATATTGCTTTATGAATATGTTATGATTAAGGTAGAAAAGTTGACGATGTTTAATTATGTTTAATTATGGAAAGCGCATAAAAGTACTTAAGTACTTAATACAAGTACTTAAGTTGATATGGCCTCGCGGTATGTTGAGGAAGTCCATCCGTTTATTTGTATGTTATGTACTTCACCTTCCCCTATCCCACACCCACCCACCCCCACCACTTCCTATACACCCTGTTAGTCTCACGGTACCCACCCCCTCCCCTACCCCCAAGTCAGTTCTTATTCACCATCAATGTAACTGGCAGGAAGTTTGGGATGAGGAGAATCCTGGTGTATCGTTGTCCGCAAGCTGTGTTGTTATTTGTAATGGTAAATGCGTTTGTTTATGTGTAATCGGAATGTCTTATTATGTGTTGAAAACCCTACAATAAAAAATTATATATAAAAAAACTGCAGCTTTCAAAGACTACTCATATTTTACAGAAAACAGAAAACTTTGCAGAAAATGGCCTTTTCTATATAACACTTGCCCACCATGTGCACATTTTGAACAGAATAAATACTAAACTGCACAGATTTCTCACATATTTTCAAATATTATGCCCATCCATAGCAATGACACATATTTAGCACACTGTAATGGTTTGGCAATTCTGCTATATTTCAGTAGAAGCAAGGCAATAATTTACATAGCAGCTGTGATTTAAGAATTCCATTACATGATCTTTAATTTTTTAAAGCTTGGCATGGGATGAATGATAAATTCCAAGAAAAAAATATTGATGGTACTTTTTTAAAAAGCAAAATTAATGAGCAAATAAAAGATTAGGTTTGCTTGAGGATATAACCCTACTGAGTCAATTTCCATGTATGGGAAGGGAATAGTGGGACTCCACTGCTGACCGTGGATTAATACCTTGCATGGTATTCTATCTGCAGTGAAAACCAGAATTGTGTTTTCTATTGTTTTTTAAAATAAAGAAAGTGAAAGTTGAGTTCAGCCTGCAAGTGATACAAACATCAACACATGGAACAGAGATGTTGAAAATGCCAGTGCTTTCCTGCATGGTAAATTCATGTACTGGAAAAAAAAATGTGTATGCTAGATAGGAAGAGAATGTTTTAAATGACCACAATAGATGGACCTGGACTATGATTTTGAACCTGTGAATTGTTTTTAAATTGAATTGTTTATCATTATTTTAATCGTTGTTAATTTTAACAGTGGCTTTAATGTATTATGTCGGCATCTAATGGTTGTCTGTTGTAAGTCGCCCTGAGTCCTTCTTTGGAGGTGAGAAGGACAGGATATAAATGCTTGAAATAAATTTTTACAGATATGGAAAGCAAATTCCCTTTCATAAAATGGTACATAGCTTTGGTTTTGGAAGTGGATAATACCCACTGGGAAATTAAAAAGGATGGCATTCCAATGCAGCGGCATCCCAGCTTTTATTTGAAGAATGACACTGTTAACACTGTTGTGCCCAGGTTTGTAGCACCTTTTAGGCAAATGTAATTCACTTTGGAGTTGTCTTTTACAACTTGGCATTCTCTGGCTAATTGGCCTTATGATGTTTCAAGAATGATTCCTAACCCAATTCTACTGCAGTAATAAAAGCATAATTCATGCAAAAGAAATGTACTTATTAAGCTGGCTATGCACAAGTGAACAAGTTTTTAAAATGATAAGCTTAGCAGCACAATGCCGCATTTTGGGGCAATTAATGTAATATAGCACATAATGAAATAAACATAATATCTTTGCTGACATCATCTGTTTTGCATGGTTTAAGACTCGCATGCTTGAAGCTACCTATTACCTACTGGAGGCAGGGAGAGTTGGAGGAAAGATGAATGA